TTTTGATGTACTGGTGGTGTGTTAATTTTGCATCTGGAACGGCCCGTTTCAGATGCAAATTTAACACACCAAAAGTGCACCTCAGAATGGCCCGTTCTGGTTTCAGAACGGGCTGTTCTGGTTCCAGGTGTTTTCAAGAGATTTAGCATCCACGTGACATTCACTTATGCATCTACGTGGCATCCACGTGTCCAACAATTAACTCCGTTTAAATAATTTAGACGGAAGTCTGACATTGAAACCAATTAATTTATTAAAGACCAAATTGAGACCAAAAATAAAAATGAGACTAAATTTAACAAACAATTATTATGTGGGAAAAAATAGGTTTTTAGCCTAAAATAAAAATACACTAAGCGCCTTTTTCTCTCCTAGAAAATATAAATATGATTAAAAATTTCTGAAAAGTGAACTTGACACGTTATTCGAAAAAAATCTGATTAATTTTGTAAGACTAACTTTTCCCATAATTCTCTTTTAAGATCTTCTATTTAGTTTGAACATTAATTGGTTTGCTAGTTGGTTATGTTTCATATTTTTTAATTATTTTTTAAACAATTCAAAATTTAAGTTCAAAATAAAAATAATCATTAATCAACAAGAATACCATTAATTTAACTTTAAAAAGTTGAAGGGCTATTTTTTTTAATAAAAAATCTAAACGATCAAAATAATTTTTAATTAAATAAAAAAAATCAAAATATATTTTTAGCTAAATTATAAAAGAAAGACTACCATTCTAATACAGATGCAGTATACTTTAAGAGATGCTACTTTGACTATTCAGTTACCAATAAACTTACAAAGATACTATTGGATTACTCAGATTTTTGCAATGGAAGTGAGCACCATACAAGTTGTGTTGGTAGCAGTTTTGGGGGTGTTGATGCATGTCTTGAATGTCTTGGTGTTGAGGCCAAGATCACTGAGAGCAAAGCTTCAGAGGCAGGGGATTCATGGGCCTTCACCTCACTTCTACTTTGGCAACATCCCACAAATTAAGGCTCTTTTGCTTCAAGTTAAGTCAGCACCAACCACACATGTCAAAAACAGAGAGGAAGATGTTTCTCTTTCACATGCATGGCCTTTCACTCTCTTCCCTCATATTCAAAAGTGGATCCAACAATATGGTCTGTTACTTTCCCTTCTCTTGTCTCATAAACATCTTGTTTCTTTCATTCTGTTTACAGAACTGAATCAACAAACACTATTCTTTGCAATTGATGTTTGGTTTTGAATAGATTAAAAAAATATTATTTTCAGTAAGTTTTCTAGTGAAAATTTTATTATATAAATTAAAGTATTCAAAGTAAAAACATACACTTAGATGCTTTCATTTGACTTTTAGGGTTCTTACATATTTTCTGAGTTCATTGGTTTATTTGGTTAGTCCATGGCTGAGCATATTGAAGGCTAAAGCACTGAGTTGACTTTGCTGATTGTCTATTATGAACTCTTTCTGTTCTTGATCTGATATAATTGATAGAAGTGTTCTACAGAGAGAAACCTTTTCAGATTCCATAATTGCTCAGATGCTAAAATTTGGAATAGTTTCACTTGCTCAAAAGGGTCTATAAGTCTATTGGCTACAGGGCTTTAGTTTGGTCTATTCACTTGTGGCATTCTCAATTTTAAACAGCAAGATTCAAGTTGACAGTTCTCTTGTAAAACGTGAACATATTTACCCTTGTTGTAATTTTGTTTATAAGAATGACTTGAATGGTGTGCTCCCATGACAGGATTACAGTTCAATTAATCAAAGACAGAAAAGCTAGGAATTTATAAATACCGAAAACAATACTTTTAGGAAGTACTGATATGAAAATAAGAATCTTAGAATCTATGAGGTTAAAATGAATTCATTGCCGTCCATTTTAAGTCCAAATTTTTATTTCAGTTACATAATATATGCAGGTCCCACATACACGTTTTCTTCTGGGACTATACAGTGGCTAATGGTGGCAGATATAGATATGGTGAAGGAAATCATCATGTACACCTCTTTGAATCTAGGGAAGCCTAATTATCTTTCCAAAGATCTGGGGCCACTCTTTGGCCAAGGTATATTGACATCAAGTGGCCAAATTTGGGCTCATCAGAGGAAGATAATTGCCCCTGAACTATACCTTGATAAGGTGAAGGTAAGTGTATTGTACCCCACACTATTCTGCTCAAGAAAAATGGAATGCTGCATTAGCCATAGAGAAGAAATAAATGTTGCATTAACATAAAACTTGGTATCCAAAGTGATGGCTTATGTTTCTTTGGTCCTTAAAAGTTTGCATCTATACAAATTTTCTTCAAATTTGTCAACTACCTAACAAGTTTACCCAATTCACGGACCGAAGCAACACGTATTGTCACATTTAGGGGCCAAATTGTATATTAACTCAATATGTATGTTGAAGTATTTTGAGTTTGACTAATCTAAAACTAAAAGTAATCCACAAGAGAGCTAAAAATTTTCAGTTACGCAGTATTACAATACCAATCTTATAACTTGTTTTTGCTGTAAATCTTGTTGAAGTCAATGGTTAATCTGATAGTTGAGTCAACAAATATAACACTGAGGTCTTGGGAGACTAGACTTGAAAGTGAGGGAATAGTTTCGGAGATTAAAATTGATGAAGATCTACGCAGTTTGTCGGCTGACATAATTGCCAGAGCTTGTTTTGGGAGCAATTACATTGAAGGAAAAGAAATATTCTCAAAGCTTAGAGATCTTCAAAAGCTCCTTTCCAAGATATTTGCTGGAATTCCTGGTTATCGGTATGTTTTGTATGATATAATGTGCATGTTTTCCATGGTAGTGCTATCCATTTGGCTTGCATCTTTACCATATATTTGCATATCATGTTCTAGTTACCAATGCTACTAATGTGAAAAACGATGTTGTAACTTGTGTTTAGATACTTGCCAAACAAAAGCAACAGACAGATATGGAGATTGGAGAAAGAGATAAACTCAAAGATATTAAAGCTCATAAAACAACGCCAGGAGGAAACTCATGAGCAGGATCTCTTACAAATGATACTTGCAGGTGCAAAGAATTGTGAGGCTAGTGATGGCTTGTTATCAGATTCCAAGTCACATGACAGGTTTATGATTGATAACTGCAAAAATATATTCTTTGCTGGACATGAGACTACTGCAATTACAGCATCATGGTGCTTAATGCTGTTAGCATTACACCAAGATTGGCAAGATCGTGCACGTGCTGAGGTTCTTGAAGTTTGTGGAAATGGTGCTCCAGATGCAAGTATGCTTAGAAGCCTGAAAACGGTATGTTATACACACTATGTGCTAAAGAGCTATAGATAAATGTTTCCAAGAAATGCATCAGATTCATTGCCCCTTGGATTAGTTATCTTGATCTTACATGGCATGGAAATTTCACGCTCAAGATTTAGATTTGACACAATGCTTGAATACCATTTAATGACTTTGTAGTTGGAAAAAATTCATTATGGTTTTTCTCATTTCAATTGCATTCTGATATTCATGAAAGGGAGACAACAAATTGAGAGATCACTATGACATGCAAAGAATCAATACAAACTAATATGGGGTTTAGAACTTTTAAATTCAACATTTGTTTGTGTCTGAATTGTTAATATAATTTTCGTAAACCATTTCAAAGTTCCATGAGCATTCCTTCTGATCAAGTCAAGACCTTCTATAAAAATGTTACACTTGTCTTGCAGTTAACCATGGTGATTCAAGAGACATTGAGGCTTTATCCACCAGCAGGATTTGTTGTTAGAAAAGCTTTGGAAGATGTTAATTTAAAAGGCATAGTGATTCCAAAAGGAATGAATATTCAGATTCCAGTCCCAGTTCTGCAGCAAGACCCTCAATTCTGGGGGCCAGATGCTCACAAGTTCAATCCTGAAAGATTTGCAAATGGGGTGCTTGGAGCTGGTAAGTTTCCACAAGCCTATATACCATTTGGAGCCGGGTCACGTGTCTGCGTTGGACAGCACTTAGCCATGACAGAACTGAAGGTCATTTTGTCTCTCATTCTGTCAAAGTTTCGCTTCTCTCTCTCACCAAGTTACAATCATTCACCTGCCTTCCATTTGGTTATAGAACCTGGCCAAGGAGTTTTTCTTAAGATGACAAGAATTTGAGCAAGAATGTGAGTTTCCCTACTTTTTCTTTGGTGTCCTTTTCTGGTCTTGTGTTTGGGAAATGGGGATGGTTTGGTCGATATAATTACAAGAGATATCATTGTTCTTGCACATGAATAATCAGAACATGCAAGAGATGTTAATCAAATTTTATCCAAGTTATCATGATTAATTGTTTGATAATGTATTTAGCCCTGTTTTTTTTTAATAAGGAACAATAATTAGTAACAAAATATAGATTGTCACACACCATGGCTAAAGCTTGTTGCTTTTAGTGACAAAATAGCTTCGTATAAGATATTGGATTTGAGTTTTATTAATAGAAATTATAAGTTTGTTTGGTTTAAAAAAGAAAAGGCAAGGAAAGAGTAGAAAGTGAGATGATGTTTAGATTTTTTGGTATGAAAAAAAATTTAAAGAAAGAAAAATGTTTTCTTTTCTTTTGTTTGATTTTTTAGTAATTATATTATTAATATAAAGTATTTATCAATTTTTTTAATGATTGATTTTTACCAAAAAATTTAATTGATCATCTTTAATAAAATCTTTATTTTCAATCACGTTTTTTTCATCAAAGATTTGAGCTCAAGGTTTTGTAATCTTTTGTTTGATTATATAGAAAATAAAAGAAAGACAAATACATATATAAAATGATATAAATATCTTAAATAAAAAGATTATGTTTATAAAAATATGAATAATTTAGTGTTTTAATTTGTTTATCAACAGAATGCTTTCTTGAGAATGCTTTCTTGTATTTGTCCGATTTGAGAAGAATATAAAATTAGTGAGATTACATTTTTGAGTCTCTTTCGTTCCTTATAAATAACCAATCAATGGAAGACATGACTTTCAAATTTTGTACGTTCTGTTTTGTTGTCTTCTTGCTTTCCATTGTACCAAACTAATCTTTTGTTCTGTTTTGTTGTCTTCTTGCTTTCCATTGTACCAAACTAATCTTTTGTTTCGTAGATTAATGTTTAATTCTGTCTAGTTGTTCTCATTGCATATGTCAAGGAAATGGATCACAGCTAAATTGATATATATAAATAATATTTGCATTTGTCTCAACTTTGATCTAACTAGATATAGATATAGGTAAGTAAAAATAATATTCAATTTATTATATTAGTTATAGAGTTAGGATAAATATATTTATTCATTTTTTCCTTGTCCTCTCTCCATCTCTGTTTTAAATTTTTAAAACATTTTTAAATTTTTAAAACATCTTTAAAATTTTTTAGGGTTATAATGAGTAATCAAAACAATTAAATTTAATTAATAAAACTTTGTAATTTTTATTTAATATTTTTTTTGTATTTTTTAGAAAAAATATTTAATTAATTTTTGAGGGGGTATGAATAGAAATGAGAATAGAATAGACAAAAGTTTGAATATATGAGTCGAGTCTATTTTACAAAATTAAAGCTTAGATCTTATCTACTATCTATCATAAGTTTTTTTTAATTAATTTATTTATTTTTTTATAGGTCTGACTTAACCTTTTTAAAGTCTAATCTGACCTATTAACTTATTTAAAAGTTTATTTTATATTAGTAATGTTAGTTAAGTCAATAAACTTGATTTTTTAAAACTCAACAAATTTATTTTTAAATTTGTCATTGGTATATTTTAATTTACGTGATAAAATATAATTTATTCAATATTATTAAAATTGAAATTTTGAAATATATACAATGCCACAAAAAGGAGAAAAAGTGAATCAATTTTTATTAGAGGGACAATTCATGCCCAATCATAATATTTTAAATATTTCCTATATCTAATTTGATATATTCTAAATAACAAACTCATATTTTAACAAACTAAAATAGTTATGATAACAATTTATAAATTAAAAAATACTAATTTACGCATGAGGTGATCTCAATAGTACTGAGTACAACGTCATAAATAGGGGATAGATGAAATTATTTTAGAGAGAACAAATGAAATTATTTTTAGACATTTTTATCAGTCTAAGTCCAACCTTTTTAAATAATTAAATAATTTTTTAAAAAATAATTTTATTAAACAGACCAGGTCAAACTAAACTTTAAAGACAACAAGTCATATGCCACTGTTTAAGTTTGATTTATTCTATTTCCTCGGTATGAAATAGAGATAGATATATCCAATACCCAATGTAGATATGGATGAAATACAATTTTCATTCCTATTGAGTATCGGAAATGGGGATGGATATAAGATAATAGATACAAACAAAGTTTCACATCATTATACTATAAAGAGAAATAAATATTTATAAAATACAAATATTTATAAATAAATATTTATATGAGGTCATTGGACAAATGACCAAAAGAAAAATCATCAAGATTTAAGTCCAAAATAAATATAAGTGTGTAAATCTTAGGTGCGATGAAAAACTCACTCTCTCCATGATCTCATCCCTAATCAATGGTTCAACTTAAAAACATAATTCTGATTTATCTCAATCATAAAAACATTCATTGTATCATTTCATTTTAAGATAATTTTTTATATATTAATTTTTATTATTTCATGTAAATTTTTTTTATCAATAGATTAAAATAATAATCTCCAATCATATCTAAGTTTTTAGAAATATGAATGGCATTATTAAATATTTTTTTATTAAATTTTTTTATGTATTACATTATAAATGTATATTAAATTAATTTCTTGCCACTGTAATATATATGTAGGTGATTGGGAGCATGTGATAATGTATAAATTTTTTTATAAAAATAAACAAAATAAGAAATATCATTTGAGGAAGTTGAATGGGTGGGTGCGTGTACTGTGTGGTGTCAAAGTGCGCATTTAGGTATATGTGTTCACGTGCATGCATGATTGCGTATAGTGTGTGCATGTGAGAGCATACGAGCGTAAATTTAATATTTTTTTAATCATTTATTTTCTCATCTTTATATTTATTTATTATAAATTAAAATATTAATTTAATTAAAAATTATAAAAATACTTATTAATTATAAATCATGTATAAAAGTATTTATCCGATAAGTTAAAGCTAAAAGTTAGTGTATTAATGATAAACAAAAATTTGTAAAATATAATAATTATATTTTGTTGATAATAGATAATATTATAAAAGTAAAATGAATGAAGAATGTCATATATATATATATATATATATTTAAAATTTATTAAAATTATATTATTTATTTATAAAATAAAATGTATTATTTTAATAAAATTTTGGATTTATTTTTAGTAGGAAGTTATGTTACTCTCTTCTAAAAGATGTAAGTTATAATATTTACCTATCATATATAATTAATTAGTATTATATTATCCTCTCAATAATGTTAAAATATGCAATTTAGTTCATCCAACTTTTGTTAATGTAAAATACATTCTTCATGTGAGACCCGTAGCCCACTTCTCTTCCCTTCCTTTTCCTTTTCTCACTTCACCCTCTTTCACTCTCACTTTCATACTCTCTTCCCTCCCAAATTCTCTACTCATTTTGCTTAATTCTTCTCTCGTTGTGGTGATCTAGGTGCTGTCTAGAGCTGGTCAAGTGTACCGGACGGATTTCCTTTCTTCTCCATCGAGCTTCTTCTTCTCCATTTCTCCTTTCTCTTCCCGGAGCTCAGATTTCTTCTCACCGAGGTAAGGGAAGCTAGGTTTTTGCTGGATTGTGTGGAAATGAGTTTAGAAACTCATGAGTGGCTTGATGATTGGATGATTGATGGCTGTGTTTGAAGAAAAGGTGTTTTTCGGGGTTTTGGTGAAAATTTGGGGATTTTGATGTGTTTGTGGTTGCATGCTGAAAATGAGTTGGTTTTCTTGTTGTTTGATGAAAATGTGGAGTTTTAGATGGTGTGCATGTGCTTGGGCGGTTGGATCTTGAGGTTTAAGGACAGAATTTGCCTACCTCATGATTTTGAGCTGAAGAAAGCTATGATGGAGGAAGGCCACAAGAGTAGACTTAACATACATCCTGGTATGACTAAGATGTACCAAGACCTCAAGAAGACTTTCTGGTGGTCTGGTATGAAGAGAGACATGCTGAATATGTGGCAGCTTGTCTGACTTGTCTGAAGGCGAAGGTGGAGCATCAGAAGCCGGGTGGTTTGATGCAGCAGATGGAGATTCCAGAATGAAAGTGGGATAGTATCACTATGGATTTCATTGTGGGATTGCCTAGGTCGGCTAGGAATAGTGATGCTATCTGGGTGATTGTTGATCGATTGACCAAGTGTGCACATTTCTTGCCTGTCAATATCAAGTGGTCCTTGGAGAAGTTGACGCAATTGTATGTGAGAGAAATAATACGGTTGCACGGGGTGCCTTCTAGTATTATTTCAGACAGAGATCCAAGGTTCACTTCCAGATTTTGGTAGAGTCTACATCAAGCCTTAGGCACGAAGCTGAAGTTGAGTTTTGCTTATCATCCACAGACAGATGGTCAGTTAGAGAGGACAATCCAGTCCTTGGAGGATTTGTTGAGGGCTTGTGTGTTAGACCACTTGGGAAGCTGGGGAGGAAGTCCTACCACTGGTGGAGTTCACTTACAATAATAGCTTTCATGCTAGTATTGGGATGGCGCTGTTTGAAGCCTTATATGGTAGGAAGTGTAGGGCTCCTCTATGCTGGTATCAAGATGGGGAGTCAGTGGTTGTTGGACCGGAGCTGATCCTATAGACTACTGAGAAGGTGAAGCTGATTTAGGAGAGGATGAAGATTGCTCAGAGTAGGCAGAAATCTTATGCTGACAAAAGGCGAAAGCCTTTGGAGTTTGCTGAAGGGGAGCATGTGTTTCTGAAGGTGACCCCAACCTCTGGTGTGGGTAGGGCGCTGAAGGCAAAGAAGTTGACACCTAGGTTTGTTGGTCTCTATCAGATCATCCATCGTGTGGGTCCGGTCGCTTATCAGTTGGCTTTGCCACTGATCGAAGTCGTATCCGGTCAAATAAAAACAATTAAATGTAGTACTAGGAAGTTGTCCTAGGTCGTCTCTCAAGGACCATTTTTCTCTGTCAAAGGCTTAAACACACGAAGTGGGGGGGGGGGAATTTTGGTTGTTTAAATTTTAAGTTTATAACACAATAAAATACAGATAACACAATAAGTAAAATAGATTGGCTCCTTGTTCGGATTGTAACTCTCTTATCCTTGATTTACAATAAGATTGCTCTATTAACTACTTAATCCTTGTTCCATCCGAGTTAACCAACTAA